TAATACTCTGGGCCAACTGCACATGCGCCGCCCACAGGGTGGGCTGCGATTAGCTAGCCTGGAGCATTACAGACAGACAGACAGACAGACAGACAAGCAGAGGCAGTCGGGGGCCATGAAATGGGCAAGGTGGTTGGGGGCATGGCGCTCTGCCTGCCATGGGGTGCTTCCTGCCACAGGGCACAACATGCTCCCTGTCGTGGGCCATGGCCACATGGCACTGCCATGTGGCACACTACACCGAGCCTGCTCCACTCCCTTCTGCCTATTGTTGGGAAGCACTCTGCAGTGCGTCCCCAGACCACAGCCAGCAGAGAGCAGGAGGTGGCAGGGCGGGAGAGGAGTGGAGTGGGTGCAATGTGCTGTGCAGCCCTGCAGCAGTGCACCCCACCTCACCCTGCCGCATCATGCCCCTGACCACCTACCCTGCTCCCTGGCCTCCGACCACCTCCACCCAGGGAGGGGGAGCAGGGAGGGAAGGTTGGGGAGGATGGTTGCACATGGCTGGAGGGGGGCAGCAGCATGGGGGGCAGTGCCTTACAAGGGGTGGCAACTACAGTTGCCATTCTGCAAGCTTCCCCCCCTTACTAGGAGGCAGCATGGGGTGGAGTGGTGGGAGGTGGTGGTTGTGGGGGCACATAGGGCCAGAGGGGGGCATGTGTCCCCCTTTTGGCTACCACATGTTGCACCCCTGGATAAGCCATGGGGCTCCGATTAGCCCATGACCCAGCCAGCGGGGCCCCATTCATGGTGACTGGGCCTTAGCCGGGCTGGGCCATGGGGCAATCGGAGCCTGGTGGCTCCTGTAGGAACGTGGCACTGGGGAACCATGGAGAAGCGGGGCACATGGCCCCCACCAGTCTATGCATGGGACAAGGGCGGGCTGCAGCTGTTGACTGTGCCCAGCCTCTGCTCTGTGCCTCACTGCCATTGCTTTGACAGTGGTGTGGTGCAGTGCCATGCGAGTCCTGCCACTGGGAAGACTGGGCAGCAAGGCACATGGTGCCACACCACTGTCAATGCAGTGACAGCAAGGCTAGGAGCAGAGGCTGAACACTGCTCGCAGCTGCAGCCCACCCTCATCCCATGCACAGACTGAGGGGCCATGGGCAGTGCCCCTGGATGAGCCACAGGGCTCTGATTGCCCCATGACCTGGCCTAGCCAGGGCCCCATTCATGGTGACTGGGACCCTGGTCAGACCAGGTCATGAGACAATTGGAGCCCAGCGGCTCCTTCAGAGGTGCAGCGTGGGGGAGGGGGTAGAATGGGCCTGGGAGCAGGGGAATAAGCCCAAACCCGAACCGGTGGGGGGAGAGGGAAAGGGAACAGGCCTGGACCTAGACCTGAAGGCAGGGGGGCTGGATGCATACTTTTGTCCCTGCCTTCCTGTTATTCTTGACAGGCAATTTGCTAGTAGAGAATATAACCATATTGAAACATCACAATATACATTTTGAAGGTGTTTGTTTCAAGGATTTATGGCGATATCATGCTGGGGGAACAATGGCTAAGTTTTATGAGAGAATCAATGGTTTGATCATGAGCAAACTTTAAAACTAAAACAACACCTTGACATTAAACTCAAACTTTTTGTATTTATTTTCCACTAGTCACGTATTTTTAATGCCAGCTTTTCTGAAAAGCATTAAACCTACATGGATCTTAATGATTTGCTATCTGTGTCACAGTCCATTTAACACAAAAGAGTGCAAGTCCGTAACAGAGAAGACAACAAATATGTATATTCTGTAGGATGAGAAGAAACACAAATGAGGGAAGAAAACAAAGGAAATAAAGCACATGGAAAAAAAAAAAAAAAAAAAAAAGCTAATCCACAATGCAGTGTTGTATATTAAAGTGACTAACCACTTCTTTATGGGTAGTTTCCATTGTAATTGGGTGTCTATACTGGACCAATGATAATCTTGGAGTTAGCACAAAGGTTTGTATTCTTTATTGATTAAAAGAAAGCTAGGACAGAGACTTAAGGTGCTCCCAAGAGATATAAAATTCAGTGGAAGTTGTGTGAATAGAAATTGTTTCATATTTTGTGGGTATGTGAAAGAGTTATGTTTATTGATTTATTTATTTATAAAACAAGCTATATTTCTATTTCTAATTGGGCCCAAAATGATCTTGTTGCTCGGAAACCTTTTTAAGCACTCCTGTTTCTATTTCCATTTTGTATAAAATATAGCATTTATATTTTATTGACCCAATAAAATATTGTATTTGTGAACTATACTTGGAGCATTTAAATGGATCAAACAATATTTCACAGCTGTGATACAACATGCGTCTGTGTGAGCATGTTTTGAGTATCAAGTGCTCCCTGTCCTGGTGATTATAAAGTAACTTTGTAAATCTTAATAGTACAGTCAAAATATTGTTGATTCAAGGTGGTCTAAGAAATATGTGAGAAACAAAGGGCACTTCAGTTGCATCTTTTATTGGACCAACTCTACAGTTGGGAGAATAGTTAGATAGTCTCAGGCACAAAGTGCCCTTCTAAAATCTTGCAATGGTGTCCTCAACACTATGACGCTAGCTGTCTCTCAGTAGGATGAAGTAAGTTACAACAGGTGGCTGATCAACAATAGTGTGCGTGTGTGTACAAAATTAAGCTAGCAGCTGAAAAAGCAAACACCTTGGCAAAAAGGATACAGGAACAGATAAAAGATTGGAGTGAAACCTACTGTAGCATGTTCCTACTTAACCTATAAAAGTGAAATTGCAAAAATTCCACTTTGCCCCAAGTGTTGACTTTTTATATTTGAGAAACAGGTTTATTAATTTGTGTTTTTTATTTAATAGAACCGTTGTATTTTTCCCCCATTAGTGAATTTACATTCCCCTCCCTCCCCCTCCTTGCACAGTTGGTATTTATCAACAAAACATTGTGGGATTAAAAATAATTTGAGGAAAATGAAAATTACATAATCAAAAGTTAATTATAAAACCTTAATTTATATAAATTGCTGTGTCTGTCATCCATTTAACTAGAGAGAAACGTGAGGAGGGAAA